AAACTCTTTTTATTAAAAAATTTTTATTTTAAAATTTAAACAATAAAATAAAATACTTTTAACAGTAATAAGACTTGTTTGTGTACCACGATATTGCACTGTGATTCCAAGGTTGACTAAAATAAGTTCCCAACAAAACTCGAAAATGGATGTGAAAGGGGAAATTAGGAAGTAGTTATTGTCATAGTCAAATATATTGAGAATGTTTGGGGGTGTTAGTGATGCAGGTGAATGAGTCAACAGCTGTGATGATGTGGAGGCTGACTAAGATGACACCCGAGAAAATGATGAGGGTTCTTTTGGCGGCACCCATCTCACGTGCAAAAGGCTACATGTTATGGGCCATCTCGTTTTGTTGGGCAATGATATCTTGCAGTGAATTCTCCAGCGAAACTTAAAAAAAAAAAAATCTTCCAACCAAGTCAATAAAGTTGGGCAGCAATGGCGAGATTCCAAGGGCTCAAGACTATTACACAACTATCAAAAGCATGATGGGGAGATGTTGTACATTGTTGAGGAAAGGCAGAAAAAATGGAAAATACATGTGGTTCAAAGATTACAGCTTAAGAATCACATTCATACATAAATTATTGTAACATGATAATAATAACAATAAACCTAACCTCTTTCATCTCTAGTGTATATCTTTACTCTATAACGAACAATCTTCATATTGAAAACGAAAAGTGTAGCAACTCCACTCCTGAAATTCTTCCAAAGGCAAAAGGATAAACTTGAGAGTGGTGAGATGGGAGAAGGAAGGGTGACCGCCTAGGGGCTTATGAGTGGAATACTTGATCCCCTTCTTGATGCTAACTTTGCAACTTGATCCTCTGATGCTCAAGAAAAACTACCCAGATATTGAAACTACAGCATGCTATTTCCCAACCATGATGTTCTGCAAATCTGAAAAATATTCTGCAGTGTTGGAGAGTCTTCTGCAATGCTAGAAGCGTAGAAAATGTGATGAAAATGGTGATTCTTGGGTGATTTCGACGTGTAGGGTGTTAGGTTGAAGGTGAGGAAGTTTTTTTAAAAGAAAAAATAGAAGTCTGGTACACGAGAGAGAAAGTTGGACCTGTGAAAACTATTCCAATCTACTGAAAAATGAAGGAAAAATAATATATATGTGCAATGGCATTTTTGTAATTTTTGGGTTAGTAGGTTAGAGGTGTACAAATGGGTTTGGGTGAGCTATCAAGTTTTTAGTGACTCTAGGCACTGCTAACAGCTCTAAAGCAATGATATCATGAATTGCCCAGTGGTTCCAACAAAGCTTTGTTGGTTCTGGCAAAGAACTGAAAATTGTATATTTCTGGCAATACTTCTAACCATATGAAATCTCATTTTTGGGGAGGTACTTGAGTCCAACCAGCAAAAGCAACACCTACACAAGATGTGGTAGGTTCCCCAAGCTCTGCATAACATTTTGGAAGATCAATAAGCAAACAATAATCTTTTGCAATAGTTTTCAAAGCCATGGAACTCATGCAACCACCTTTGCACAATTTCCAAGGCCATGTAAGTTTATGGATTTAATGGACATGAGATGTGTCAACCTTTCAACTTAGCTATTAATAAATACTCTCCTATGGATGCTTATGCTCCTGATTGTTTTTAGGTTAAAATATCAATTTGTTCTTTTAACTTTTAGATTTGTACCAAATTGTCCCTCAACTTAAAAAAAAATATTAAAATTATCCTTAAATTTTAATTTTTAATATGAAAGTCTCTTCGATAACAAAAGAATTATGTAACTCATTATTTTGTTATAAAATCAATTCTTTTTTAAAATATTAATAATGTGTAAAATTAAATAATCATATTTTGCTATCATCATATATTTTTATTTATATATCAAATTAATATACAATTAAAGTTAAAAAAATGGTATTTGTAACCAAAGTTCAAGGACGAAATTGATACTTGCTTTCAAAGTTTAAGGACTAAATTGGTATCATCTTTAAAGTTTAAAAACTATTTTGATATCA